ATCTCTCCCTTCCTAATTATGTTCTTCCATTTATTTTCTTACAACCTTTCTCCATCTCTTCACTCTGTTGTTAGAACTGCTGTCCCTCCTCCTACACTGCTCCAAAGCAAGAGCCAGCAACAGCAGCCTCTTGTGACTGCAAGCGCTCATTACCAGTTGTGGCTAATAGTACTGTTGACAGCAGGCCTGATAACTATTGTTACTAATTTGATACAGTTTGCTGCATAATTTGATACAGTTTGCTGCATCTGTTTTGTTTGTTTTTTTGTTGTTGTTTTTAGTTTTTTTAGCTTTTTAGCGCCACTTTTTAAAAATTTTGTTTGCCCATCTTTCCCAACCACTTGTTCCACACTAAACTCTGTTCTACAGGGTGCATGAATGCACAGGCAAGGTACGTCAACGGTCGGTTGCCTTAAGAGATTTGATTGTGCAATCCAGTGTCAGTAATGAAAATAGACAATATGTGCCAGATTACCAGTCCAGCCTTTTTTGTGCTGAGTAGTGATTGGAATTCTGGCTCTTTTTAGAGAACCAGCTCTTCTGGCTCGACTCACTAAAAAGAGCCGGCTCTTTCCACTCCCAACCGGCTCTTCAGGTTGTTTTGTTGCTTTAATTAATTTATTATCAACAATAATATAAAATTATGCACAAAATAAATTACTAATGTAAAAAGATATGTTTTTTATTTACATACATTTATTATATAAATAAATTTATTTATTCACTCCACATAAAATGTAAAAAAAAAATATCAAATACAAAAGCCAACTATTTACAATTCAACTTTTAACTATTTAAATTTTCATCTTTTTCCTTTTAAACAAATTTAAAGTGAAACAACACAAAACACTGCAAACCACAACACAATGAATTTCAAATATGCAAAACAAAAAGAAGATGCCCGTTCTCTCTCATATAGGCCTGGGATGGGATGGGATTTTTTTGGGAAAGTGTTTTCCTGCTTGGAAAACACTTTCCATGCACATAGGATTCAGTGCATGAATAAACTTTCCAAATCCTTTATCATTCACAACTGAAAATAGTTGGAAATCAAGTGCGATCACTTTTGGCTGGTCCTTATCAATTGAGTTCTGTCTTGCTGTGGTCACAGACTTCTGCAAAAACTGTGTAATAGAGCTCTGGGTTGATTTAAGTGGTTGTGGTGGAATACGCTGTAGATGCAGCAGCAGCACCAACAGTTGCAGTAGATACACTGGCACCTTCATTAATATCACACTCAACAGACTCTGTTTCATCTTCTCATTGCACTGATGGGTGGACAGTTTTCAGGTGCCAGTGCAGGTTATTTGTGGAGCCGGCTCTATATGATATCCTTTTCTTGCAGACTCTACACTCTGCCTTTGTATTGTCAATAAAATTTAAATGGTTCCAGATTTTGCTTCTTTTCTTAGTGTCACTCATTTTCTTTACTATACCTTTCTAATGTGACAATGTTATCTCTTGTTGTTGCGCCTGGCTCTCTTTCTCTTAACTCCCGCTCTGTTCCTGTGCTACCCTGAGTGTAACTACCACCCCTCCCCCCTCTGCTCAGCAAACACAAGGCTCGTGTAGCAAAAAAAAAAGTGAGAGGGTGAGAGAAAGAAAGAAAAACACTCCCTTCCTTCCCTCAAAGAGCCGGCCTCTAAGAGCCGTTTCGTTCGCGACCATCACAACACTAGTACAGAGATTATGCGTTTGCAACCAGTGTTGGGAAGGTTACTTTTCAAATAAAACAGGTCCGCGGCTCCGAAACATATAAAGGGACCTCTGGCTAATATGTCGGGTTCTGTGTTGGGCTTGCAGCCGAAAACTAGACAGAGAGAGGGGTTGAAAGGCTGCTCCAACGGAACTTATTGTTTCAGAGAAAAACACAAACACAATATACAGTCGAGTCTGAATATCTTACTTACAACTGGACTACACTGCCCATGAGGCTACATTCTTTGGGGATATGCCTGTAACACTCTGCCTATTGTCTTCATATTAAATAATTTTTTGAACAATAACAATAATTAAAAAAAATATTCCTCACGTCATTATGCGGGCCGCAAGTAGAGGTGACATGGGCCGTGAGATTAAGACCCAGGCATTAGAGCCTCTTAATGCGTGTTTTGTTTGGGTTTCCACCAGCGTGGAATTACCAGAAATAGAGAGGGCATAGCCTAACATATGAAACAGGAAAAGACTGCTGTGTAATCCTTTTATTTCAGCAAAGTAACTGTATTCTGAATACCACCTTTTTAAACGGTAACTGTAACGGAATAGAGTTACTCATATTTTGCATTTTAAATACGTAGCTCCAGTACATGTCTTCTGTTACTCCCTAACACTGTTTGCAACTCATAGTCTGTGTTCCCATTTAGCCCTTTGACAGACTGGTGACCTGCCCAGGATGTACCCTGCCTTATAGCTGGGATAGACTTCAATCCCCCATGACCCTGAACTAGAAAAATGGCCACAAAAATGAACAGATGTTCCAAATAATTGGTCAGAGGTTAAAAGTCCTGTAGTTACCACTTATGTTACCAGTTATCACTGTGGCCACTGTTGTTTCAAAGGGAGGATCAATAATTTATTCACCTCTTAGTTTGATTGTACACCTTAGGCTCTACGTAAAGGCTGCCAAAAAAAAAACATAAGTCCCCATAGGTCGCTTCTGTTTCTCACTCTTCAGAGCACTGTTCATCCTCTTTGTGCTCACGCAAAGATACACATCTGCACCTGAGTGAAACCTGTAAAGGGTAAATACACTGCAGAACCTGTTTATACACACTATTTTTTCTCTGTGGGGGGGTTGAATGGGAGACTTGAAGGAATGGTACAGACCAATGACAATAGTATTAATGGAGGATTAATCTGGTTACTGATTTCAAGAAAATTTCATTTTGCTTTCTGGATTGTTGTTCCACGCTAACACAAACTGGTAAGTTAGTTTTTATTTATGAAAGACTCCTAAATCTTTCATGCAACTATTAGCAATATCGTTTGTTTAATCCGTCTCCTGACGTTTCGATGTGACACTACTTAACTGTTCGCAAATATTGTGGCATTTTAGATATTTATATGTAGACCAGAATGCCAATTTAAATTTTATGTATTTTGGATATTTGGAAAAAGTCAGATTTTGAAAATAAGATAGCTACTGTTATGCTAATAGCATTAGCAAGATGCTAGTTGTACTTATTTCCTACTCTGAAAAATACTAATTAATGCAGAACACAAGAGACAGCCTATGGGTCTAGAATCTGCTTTATACCCTACCTTGAATGTACAATATTGTTTTCTTGGAGCGGGCTTTGTTTTTATATTTTTAAAGTTGAGGTATAGTTTAACCCAGATCAACTGATCACTCAGGGTTGATATGCTGGTTCTTCATTGCATTACAAACAATGTTATTGACAGTCAAGCAGTATTTTAGCTACTAAGAAAAGGCAAACTGTAATATTAAATATTAAACTTGGATCTAAATATTTTAATAAATTAAGAAGAGTAGTATTTTGAAGTGTCTGCGTGTGTTCCTATTCATTGTTGCATTGATTTTTCACACCCTCACTCTGGCTTGTGTGCTCTGTTTCTAACTCAATTTCTAGCTGCCCCAGTTCAGGTTTTGTTTTGACCTATGCCAAAAATAAAGCTGTGGGTTTTTAGCTTAAGTTTCACTTTCACGAGTCTGCATTTGGGGCCTACTTTCCTGCTTGCTGCACACAGATCCTGACAGTTTTGTGCTCAGCCATTAAATACTTGCATTATTATTTATGTTAAATGAACAATAATGGAAATGTGTTCAGAACTGTTTCAGAGCACATGCATTGATTTCTCCAGAATCCTTTTTGTTGCTAATGCAGTGCTTCACAAGTCGATGATTGCCATTCAATATGATTTTAAGGCTTTTCGAGTTCTCTGGATTCATTAAATCTTTAAGCTCCTGAAAATCTTTGCTTTAAAAAAAAATTAAACGTTTATTATTAAACTGTGGAACTATTTAGTCTTTCCAATGTGAAATCATGATAATTTTTATTTAGTCTAAGCCTCTCTGGCATGCTCATGTTAAACTGAACAATGTTTTATCAGTGTTCGCAGCTTGTAGACAAGTAAATGAAATATGTTTTCCATCCTTGTTTCTTAATTAGCTACTGTAGTGTTTATTGAAACAATGTGCAAGCAGCAGCATTATAGTGCAACAGTAGAGACACATGGTATGAGTCAAAGGTAGCCTAGGTCTAGTTCTTTCCCTGGACATTTTAAATAGAAGTATAACATAATGCTTAATGCTTTAGTTTTGCAAATAGATTCAACTGGTCACTTGTCAGGAGGTGCATGATAACGTCACATAATAAAACTGAGGGTTGTTGAAGTAGCTCACTTTTTATCATTATTGGAGACTCCCTTGTGGCTGTTACTTTCAGACAAGCCCTGACGACGAGGCTTGTCTCGTCGTGCACACTTACTAGGGAGCACAAAGGCATGGTGTTGCTATAGCAACCTGGCACTTGCATGTTACATAACATTTATATTGGTATTTTCATGGACAGTATGATATTGCATGACCCTAATAACTGGTGCAATGAACATGGTACATTTAGATGACTGGTACACTGGTTATGGCGGTTTAGAGTAAATTAAAGAACCCCTTCTGCACTTTACAGTGCTCTGGCTTTATGTGTTATATTATAACCTGCAGCAGAGAGAGAATCACTCACTTCCCAAAAATGTTTTTTTTGTTTTTTTTAACTGTCACCATGCATGCTCACAGTATACATAGTTTCTTATACTGCATTTTTGTAATTTAAATAAATTGTTTTTAGTACAGATCTGTTTCACTGTTAAAAATTTGTACTGATACTTCACATTATGACATTTTTAAGCATATTGGCCAATACCAGTCAGCAACTCTCCTGTCAGCTTAGGGGAGAGTTGTTGTAAAATCACATATTTGTCTAACCTTATTTATGGTCTGTTTAAGGGTTGGTCACCTTACCCATTCAGGCTCTAGAATGATATTTTCAAAACAAGGACTCCCTAACAGAGTGACAAAATATTTATGTTGCTATATTTTGCTAAACCTGTAATTTATCTAATATAACATAAAGCTGCTTCTGTAAACTTATAATAATTATTAGCAGATGTTTTTAGTATAATCTGGCCAAGTTGTTATCAGGATATATCTCATTTCCTCTCAGCAGAAAGACTATGAGGGTTCTTTTTTTAAACTGTTTTTCTAAACCACATAATGCAACATGCCTACAGTTTGGTTTCTTTTTCTTTTTTGTTAGGCCAGAAAAATATTAAAGTGCAACCAGACATTCGTTAAAACATGCATATTGAAAATCATGCCAAACCTTAGTGTGTGGTCAAACATCAAGAAAAAAACAAGCTTCATTGAAAGTTAAGAAAAAAAACTTCCTCAAATGTTTCACCGGAAGGAGATGTGGTGATAATAGTCTTTTTGCACATAATGCAGCTGCACCATTAACCTGCACACACCAACCAGACTGGACGCACAATGAAGGAGGAAGACACTATTTATACCGTGGTGGAAGTGCTCATTGCCGTTATTTGCTGTCTGGGTAACATGCTGGTAATTTTGGCCCTTTGGATCAGTAGAAACATTCAGCAGACAACCTTCTGCCTTATTGTCTCGCTGGCTGTGGCTGATTTTCTAGTAGGTTGTGTGGCAATACCATTGGCTGTAGTGGTGGATGAACGAGTGAAGACTTCATTCAAGACCTGTCTCTTCATCAGCTGTGTGGTCATCCTGCTGACTTTTGTTTCAGTTCTGTGCCTTGCAGCTATTGCTGTAGACCGTTTCCTCCGGGTGTGTATCCCTATCAGGTAGGATGGCCTGCATAACCAGATCTTTAATTTATAAGCATTCACCATACTAATAACTTTATGAAAACTTTATGTAATTAAAAATAATTACAATTAGTTTGAAACTAATAGGAATTTTTTTTTACTTATAGGTACAAAAGGACTGTAACACACAGACTCTCTTGTTGTGTGGTAGCAGCATGTTGGTTTGCTGCAATTCCTCTCAGCTTTACTCCTATGTTTGGATGGCACGAGAATGAAACTTTAAATTATACAACTTGCAAGTTTACAGATGTCATCCCAATGTCATACCTGGTTTATTTCAACTTTTTTCTCTGCACATTGACGCCTCTGTTGGTAATGACTGCTTTATACATCTATGTGTTTTGCACAATCAGAAGAAGCCTTCGAGACAAACCAGGGAGCCATGCCCGAAATTCTTACAATTACTTAAGGAAAGAGAAACAGCTGGCGGGATCTCTGTTTCTGGTACTGGCCTTGTTTGCCCTGTGCTGGCTCCCTCTCCACATAATGAACTGTATTCAGCACTTTGGAAATAGTGAGGTACCAAAACAAGCTTTTAATGTTGGGATTGTGCTCTCTCATGCTAACTCAGCTGTCAACCCAGTTGTCTATGCATTCAAAATACAAAAAATCAAAAGAGCATATCTAAAGATCTGGAAAGAGTGCATTTCATGTGGAACAGAAAAGCAGGAATCACAGATAAGCCAGACAACAGACAAGTCCAGCAGTAACAATGATAGTCTGGCCCAAAATGAATGAAGGCTGATGTCCTTGTTTGATTCTATTTTATTAGGGATCAAATTTGATTGGCTTTTGAAATGTATGTATTAAAACCAGTGACTTGATGATTACCTTGGTGTGTGTCAGGCCTAGAACCAAATATTATATTATTTAGATACTCATATGTTTGCTAGGTATTCAGTTTTAAATTTTCATCCATCCATCTATTCTCTTATCCAATTCAGGGTCACAAGATCCCAGCTGTTATAGGGAAAGGGGTGGCAGTACCCCCTGGACAGGTTGCCAGTCTGTCACTGGGCACACTAAATATTAGTTTCTTTTAAATGTGGAAATTTAATCCATCTCAGCTTACATCCTTGGAGTCCATGTCATTTAAACTAGTAATGATGCCGCTTTAGTTCACTTCATTAAGGCCAACTAGGGGACTAAACATTTTTTTTAATATAGCAGTTTCACTATCTAGCCAAAGCTTTAAATATTTGCTGTAGCTTACTGCTGAGGGTATGGCATGCAAATAGTTGTTTTAGAGATAGCCTTAGTGTGTACAGATGTAAAGCACATGTTTCTGTCTATATTGTGTAAACTGGTGCAGAAAAAAAGACCAACTTCCTCTTGTTTTTAAAGTTAAGTTTTTAGATAAAGTTTCATATCACTCTTTCTCTGTTTCTGTTCAAGTTCTAGTTCGTCATATGTTGATATGAAGACTCTCCATTAATATCAACAGACAGTGTATTCTGTTCGAAAATTATATTCACTGTTCTTTGAAGTGGTAGTTAAAGTAAAATAAAATGGAATTGTGTAGGGGTAACTGATGCCTGAGTTCTGACTTTTATTAAACTAAAAAATCATTGACTTCAGAATTGAAGAATGACATTTCTTTGCCTTCAGAAACTCCTGGGCTGCGTTTGCAGTATGCAGCAGCGCTGTCCAATCAGTTTTGCAGCAATTTGCTGTGCAGAGTATAGCTTTTTTAGAGTGTGCAATTCATCATGTTACGTCTGTCAGCACTCACATCTTCAGTACCTTCAGTACCCACATCTCCAGACCTTGATAATGACACTGCTTGGCAGTAAAATATTCAATTCATTAAAATGAAATGAAAATGGAGGAACATTTATAAAATTCTTAAGCCACTGATGCGTCATTTTATATATATATATATATATATATATATAGTTCAACCATCAGGACTTAATAAAGAAATGATTATGCTAGGTTTAAGGAAAAAATTCAATGTACAACCTTTTAATTTTATTATAAATTTTATTATAGTAACTGATTTTGGATAATGTTTTCAGATATGTTTATTTAGAAATGTTTCCTTTAGGCGGGCATTTACATTGACATCTACATGTTTCTATAAAAAAATGCAAGCCAGTAAAGACAGGGATTAAAAAAAAGAGGGGTATATACATACATAACTCAGACTACCTTCCCCTTAGCCCTCAGATGCAGACCCCGGATACTGATTTTGGATAATAAATGTAATGAAAACAACTTCAGACAATCAGTACGATTATTTTATATGTATCACTGTGTAAATTACTGTACATTAAAACTCATCAGACTCAACTGGCAGTATCAATATTCTTGGCAGTATTCTTCTCTTTGAGTCTATAGTACAGATCTATTCTATACAAACTTTCCTTATATCTTTGCAAACATATTTTAAAGAACCTGAAAAAATTATAGCTTAGAAGGCAAACATGGGAAACAGAGCTTCGAGTTCTTCTTTTTTATGTATAGGTCTTGTATCTTTTGTTACTTTGTGGTTAGTTGCGATATTATCAAGAATTCCTTTTTCAGTTTACCCGTCTGCTAACCTAATGTTGCATAGTTCTTCCACTAAGTTGCAAAATGCAAAATTTTGAAACCTAATATATCATTTGGTAGTCTGTTCATGTAAAACTTTTACTGTGATCTTTCTGACAGTATTAATATCAACGTAATACAAATTCCCTAATGTGACACTGGATATTAAATACTTGTGGATTTACATATTCTGTCAAAGAAATTGTTTTACAAATCTGAAGTCATACTGGAAATTAGATGGCTAACATTTGCTCATTGAAATGCGTTCTTTAAGCTATACATTTTGTCATTGAATTATATTGCAGCTCATTTAAAATCAACTTGTCAAGTGAAAATATGCCTGTTTTTTATTCTGTAAATCTGTCATTACTATCTCAGATATAAACAATGCAGGTTAAAATACAATACAGGTCCCAAAGTTAAGATCATTTGTGGAGCTATAATAGTCTTTTTGCCACAAGATGGCATCAGAGTGGCTCCTTCAAGCACTTATTGTACCTCTCAAGGAAGGTAATAGGCTGTATAGTTATCACCTGAATAGGATTGAGTCCATCCCACAAACTATACAACCTACTACCTCACCTTGCTAGGCTCAACTTCAAACCCAAATGAAAAGCCTTAATAACAAGGCTTTGGTCAGTATACACCAATTAGAAAGGGTAGACAGGTTCTACTGTTCGATTACATAATTAAATGACAGTCTTTCTTTGGACTGCAGTTGTCTTTAAACAGGTGTGGGTAGATTATTTGTATTTTCATAAGTGATGCGTTCCTTTATCCAGGGAGCTTCTCGTGCATATAGGATTTGGCATCTCCGCAGATTAACCTGTTTCCTTAGGAAAGACAGTAGATTGTATAGTTATCTCAAAAGGAGGACGTAAACCCCACAACTATTCAATCTACTACCTCAACCTTAAGGACAGACAGTTTTTCACGTAGCAGTAGAAAATGTGTCAGTCAAACTGTGAGACAAAGAGAAAAAACACACGTTTTTAGATGTCAGTATTCACCTTGGAAAAACAGTTGCTGAAATATTTTAGTGTCGTTTCTTCATTTTTCGACTGACTACACACTATAGACCACATCGATTAAATACACTGATACCACAGAATGATGTAGTATGGTAGCAGATTTACCAAGAATTACTTTCTAGCTTCATTTCCACATTCCACTGTAACCTAAGCTCTAAAATCAAGGCCTAGTTCATTATAGAGCTGCTGTGTTTGCGTAACTGATATCCTGTATCTGACTACTGGCTCTTGACATATGGAATATATTTGACAAGTGTTAAAGACTGAAATGTGACAGACATGTTACCCTGTGTAATTAAAGTTAATAAAAAAAAATAGCACATAAAGTAAGACAAAAGTTTATAATAATTTGTCCATAATTCAAGACAACTAGAAAAACCAAGTTCTTTATAATCATGTCTTTTTTTTATAGTTTGCTTCCCTCCATCTCTACAACCAGAAAGTAATGCATAACGAAGGAAGAAAAATGGCTGTACCTCAGCCATTTTAGGGAGCTGTTTGGCACCCATCCTCAACATCTGTGGAGCGACTGTCTCCTCCTTGCAATTCTTGAAAACATAGACCTCTCCAAACAATGTTGGGGAATGTACAAAGAGCAATGTAAATTGGTTGTTCTTGGGTGTTTTTGGTGGTGGTTGTTGTGTGTGTGTGTGTGTGCGGGGGGGGGGGGGGTCTTTAGTAGAGAAACGGAAGGTTTGACTTCTCAAAATTGCCCTTTTTGCTCAGTCAGCCAATTTAAAGCCACTGAGAAAGAAGTTTCTTTACTGTGCCAGCTGGAGTCTGGGACACAAGCTGGGTGGAGCTGTCCAAGTCCAGACAGAACCATGCTTTGGTCGAAACAGCTCAGCCCAGGCAGTTTTGTGGTAGATGACCAGACCGTGCAAAGGCTGGAACATTTTGCATAAATTTGCATGTGAACGGTGGTCACTGAAAAGCTGCTTGGCTGCTCATTAACATTCTGAATTCCTCTTTGGCCCAATTAATGTCAACAGTGATTGAAATGTTTTGGCAGTCTGTGTGGCTGTGGTGACAGGGCATGCTCACTGGGGCTTGAGGGAGTGAGTGGCATTAACTGAGATGATGAATTAATCAGATGCTTAATGGTACCAGATTCTTCTAACTGGCTGGCCAATGCAGAGGGGATGGAGAGAAAGCAAGAACAAATTTGTCAAATTTGTGTTGTGACCAACTATCACTATACGATTCACTAATAATTTATAGCTAGGTTTAACATCTGTTTACAGTAATAATATAACTTGCACCATTTCTTCCATTCAGTCAGCATGATAAACTAGCACCCCACCTGCCTAATGTAACATGATATGTGACCGTTTAGACTCATATGTTTCTTAGAAGAATTTCGCTTTTTACAACCGGAAGTGACACTTTAAAATAGTCTTATTCACAAGCTGCAGATCAAGGGAAAATGGCTGCTCTGTTGTTCATCCATAACTTTTATCTGATACTCAGAACAATTAGCATTCCAATCAGTATATCACTGACACGGTTATTCTCTTTTGCCTCGGGTATGTATATATGCCCAGAGAAGCTCATTTCACAGCAGCAAACTTACGACTTCTTAACGAAATCTGTGTTGTGAAATGCTCAGATAGCAAACAACTGAGTATTTAGGCAATAATAATGCATAAAAAATACCCATTTCAAACTGGCGCTGGTCCGTGATGATTTGCGGAATACAGGGCATGAGTGTCGGGGACTGATCTGGGTTCTCCTATGCTGCTCCTTCCAATGTTTTGTGCCAAGAAATGGGCATTGTCTGCCCTCCAAGCTGAATCTCAGTGAGACAAAAGTGGGTGATGTCGTGGATGCAGCATGGCAGAGCCCATAACTGAGGGGGGAGGAGAGTGTTGGCAGCCAAGCAATCAGAGAATGCCATGTCAGACAAGGGTTGTGATGCCACACAGTAAGGTATGGTGGTGTAGCCTGCTGCCAGATGCTCAGTGCATTGCCGGCTATGTGAGCTAGGTGTATACTACTAAAGAAAGGTCCATTGTTCCATAAGCATGCTTTGTCCATATGTTGAACAGGTATTTATTTTTTGTGTGAGTCCATCCTGATCCTGTTTAAACTAAAGTAAAAAGAGTGAATATACATCTTGTGGGCAGTATGTCTTTATATTAAAACATATTTCATGTCAACTGAAAATCAAATAGCTGACTTTTTTCAATTTCTTACAAGAAGTACTTGCTAAAAGGATTTAGCAATTCTTTTAGAAAGAGGATTCAGTGTTATTTACTCGCATTCTGTTAATTTTTAGTAATAGAATTTCATGGCACAGCCAAGAGGTGGAGGGTGTTAGGTTTGGTGGGGTCAGGATCCCATCTCTACATTTTGCAGATCATGTGGGTTTTTTAGGCTTCTGCTTACACTGCCTTGGGATGAGAAATTAGCATGTCCAC